AAAATTATAATGAGAAAGACTATTATAACTCTGAAATTAATTATGATTACAAAAATACCTTGATTTACGTCCCAAAACGACGTCGTTTTGGGCTAAATATAGATAGCTTATCTACATTGACTGCAGAAAAAATGAACCATATATATATATATATAGGTTTGATTTTTCTGCAGTCGCTTTACATACAACAGTGACAAATTTTTCATATATATAGGTTAAAGCATTTAATGTAGGAAATCATAACTATACAAAAGGTGAAAACATTAAATATGGGAAATCATAATCATAATCATACATATCATAAATATAATTGTATCTAAAGTTGTTGTACGTGCAGCAATCAAATACTTGCTATATATATACTTAAAAACATTAAATGCGAGGAATCATAACCATACAAAGTATGAAAGCATTAAATGTAGGGAATCATAACCATACACCTGTCGTTGCTGTACGTAAAGCGGCTGCAGAAATGATTTTATGTATATATATATATAAATATATAAATATATATATATATATAGAGGTAGGATCCTTTGACACTGATGTCAAATTTGAAGTTTGACACCTCATCTGAGAGCCGTTAGATAAAAAAAATCAACGACTTAGATTTGTAAGCATGTGACACCCTTGATCTCTTTTTATCTAATGGCTCTCAGATAAGGTGCCAAACTTCAAATTTGACACCGGTGTTAAATGATCCTACCTCATATATATATATATATATATATATATATATATATATATATATATATATATATATATATATAAGGTTGGCTTTTTCTGCAGTTACTACAGATAAGTTATCTGTAGTAAGCCCAATACGACGTCATTTTGGGGCAGAAATCATGGTATTTTTGTAATTTTAATTTATTTCTGTGTTATAATTGTCTTTATATTTATAATTTTTTAAGATTTCAATACCAAAACGACATTGTTTTGGGAATAAACGCAGATAATCTATCTGCAGTAACTGCAGAAACATTTTTTCCTATATATATATGTGTGTGTGTATGAGCGGGTTCTTCTTACACCAGTGTGAGACTAACAAGTCTTACACCACATCTCAATCGTTGATATACGGAAATCATCGATTATTATTTGTAATGAAATTAATGATTAATTAATTCATATGACTTCCTAAATTATAATCGTTTGATGCAAGAAAATCAACGGTAGAGATGTAGTGTAGTACTTATTAGTCTTACACCGGTGTAAAATGATCCTAATATATATATACATATATATACACATATATATATATAGACAGATATTCTTATACAAGTCTTACACTAAATCTTGATTATTGATTTACTTGTATCTAACAACCAAAATATCTAATAAATCAGAACCGTTAAATATAAATAAAAGCAATAATCAAGATTGCGAGTGTGAGTTACATTGGTGTATAAAAGGATCTTTACCCATATATATAAGATCAACTTACACCAGTATAAGAATAATAGTCTTACATCAAATCTTAATCGTTAGAAACTATTAATTTTCCTGCAGAGACAAAAAAAGATGGGATCCACCAATCAGGTAGTAAGGCTAAAATAGTAGTAAGTGTAACCGCCCTATATATATATGAGTTAATATCTCTTATGTTATAGGAGATAAAATTATCTATTACACATAATAAAGTATGTGAGGCCCATATTTTCTTTTTCTATATCCTCTTCATATGGTGCCTTTATATATTCTTATGTGTATGTATAAGATAGTTTCATCTCTTATAATATGAGAAACATCAAATCATGTATATTGTTTCTCACATCTTACGAGATAAATTTATTTTCTATACATATATCTTTATGTCTTTCAACATGTGAGATAAATTCATGTTTCTCAGTGGGGTCATATTTTTTCTTTTTCTTGACCTCACACACTTTTATACACATGTGTTGGCAAAAAATATCATTTATTGCAAATTAAATAAAAAATTACGAATTTATTGCTGTTTTCAAACTATTTACGAGTGCATTGCAGGATGTCATGCTCGGTTTGAGCGTGAGTGGTCACGCCTAAGTTAGGCGTGATCCACGAGGCACTCACGCCTAAATTAAGCGTGACTCGTCTGATATTGACACGTGACACAAAATGTTAATAGTTTAATCGTAAAACTTTGGAAGACCATAACTTTTGACTCAGGTATCCAAATCAAGTATTTTTTTATTTCACATAATTTTTTGAGATCTACGCAATGACACCTCATTCGGTAAATTTTGTCTCTCACTAATACAATTCAAATTTGCAACAATTGTACTACTATAAAAGTGCCACAATATAAGAGGTTTTGAGATGAATTATACTATTATAGACGCCGAAAAATGCATTATTTTAAACATATATAGTACCTCAAACACTCTTATCAAAGCTTATTTCAGATCATAAAGTCCACCAGTAGAACCTAGGAGTCCTATGAAAAGTTTGCAATTGGATGCCCATTTTGGCATATTTTATCTTTTTGAATGATGTTATTTAAATTTTTACTTCCCAACATTAACAAATAATTCTCCGAAATTTTTTCTGTGCGTAGATATCGAAAAGTTATGTTGAATAAAAAAAATCACCTTATTCAAACTTCGAGCAAAAAAAATTACATGTTAATTTTTGTTTTAAAAAGGGACTACTAGAACGGGACCACATTATGGAAAAAATGTGCATCATTGGATACAAAATTGCGTCATTTTAAGTAAGAGAAAGAGATAGATCATGAGAAAGAGAGTGAGGGAAAAAAGTTTTAAAGGTGTGGTCCCATCTCTTTGTGAGAGTGAAAGGACACAAGGTGTGTCATTTAAAATGACACACCTTTTCCCCTAATATTATGTTATTTTTTTAGAAAACTATATCCCGCTCCCGCTCTCTTTCATTTCAATTGTTATTCTTAACAAAGACAAAGAACACACACTCTCTCTCACTGTATATGCGAGCTCCTATTCAACCCAAAAAGCTTAAGCTAGTGGGTGAGAGCTTTTTAATGGTTTTATATATCTCAACACGCCCCCTCACACGAGAGCCCACTGGGCTTGAAGGGTGGACAATGCATAGACCCACCTACCTATGCGAACAAAGAAATTCCACTTGAAAGAAAGTTGGGGTGGCGAGGATCGAACCCGGTACACCGAGGCTCTGATACCATGTAAACAACCAATTCAACCCAAAAGCTTAAGCTGTTGGGTGAGGTTATATTAATGATTTTATATATCTCCACACTCTATTCAATAGATGTTTGCTTTTTGTACTTTTTTATTTCAAGATTTTTTAAAAGAAAATTCTTTTGGTGTTGGTTCGAAAAAAGCTCGGAGGCTTATGAGTTTAAATGCTCTTATAGTATCATTGTTGTAAATTTGAACCATGTTTGTGAGAGATAAAACATAACAAATGATGTGTCATTGCGTAGATCTCGAAAAGTTATATGAAATAAAAAAAAATTACCTGATTCGGATACCCGAGTCAAAAGTTATGACTTTTCGAATTTTTTCTTGTGCCACGTGTCAATACCAGACGAGTCATGCCTAATTTAAGCGTAAGTGCCTCGTGGGTCACGCCTAACTTAGGCGTCGTGACTAGGGGTGAAACTGGGTCGGGCCGGCCTACAGGGGCCTACGACTCGGCCTACATCAGGCAAGACCTGACCTAGTATATTTCATAAAATAGGCCGGGCTTAGACCTTGAAAAAGCTTGTTTAATAAAAAGACCATAGACTCACTCTCACAAGGCCTGGCCTATAAGCCTACAGGCCGGCCTATATTGTACTATTTATTTTAAATAAAATAAAATATAATAAGTAAGCCTCGAAGAAAAAACAAAAGATATAAATTTAATCAATTGCAATTATTTGTAACTTAATTATATTTGATTATATTTTAATAGAAATTTGACTTTATTTCTTATGTAGGAGAAACCAACATCTCAGCATGTTAGATTGTATATATGAATATTTAAAAGATTTTTGGGAGAGATTATACTTACTACAAGTATCATGATGTGTTTGTTGGATTCATGTAGTTATTTTAATTTACTTAGTATGGATTTGTTTGTTGGATATGAAGAAATATATGTTATTTAGTTTGAGCATTTTGCTTTTGAAAGTGACTTAAATACAGATTGTATGAGTTTTGTTGTGATTCATGATTCTGTTTGGATGTTAAAATTATGATTTTTGGTTTAGCAACAAAATTTGAGTATTTTGTAAAGTTGCTTCATGGTCATGTTTGGAAGTTAAAAATTAACAGACTAACGGGTTAGGACAGACCATTTGATTTTTTATAAACGGGTCAAGCCAGACTAACAGGTAAACTCGTGCTAGGTTTGGGCCAGACCAAATTGAAATTTTTTGGCATAGACTTGGGCTTTTCGGGGCAAAGCTTGGCCCAGCCTAGCCCACTTTCACCCCTAGTCGTGACCACTCATGCCCAATCTGAATATGACATCCTACAATATATCTGTAAATAACTTAAAAATAGCTATATAATCATAATTATTTATTTAAATTGCAATAATTTTTTTTTTTTGGTCTCCTCCTATGACACGAGAACATTAACCCCACAAATGAAAAAGCTATTCGGTCTTCAACAACATTGGCAGAGCATGTACTGTAGTGACGTACAGATTCTCTCTGTCTGTCTCTTGCTCTCACTGTTTTTGTTATGCCATGTAAATGGTGACTTTTTTCTTGGAACCATATCTCCCAAAGCAGTTCGAAACACAACCTGAATTATCATCACAATATGCCACTTTCTAGTTGTACTGTACTTGCTTTAGCCACTGGTCTTTCTAGAGATATAAAACTCCACGGACTTACCCTGACAAGGATGAGGCTTTTTTACCTCACGGAGAATCATCACTGAATGCTTTTACTATGGTCCAATTATCTTTCCACATTGCAAGACAACAATGCTGTAAATATGTAATGTGAAATATCCTGGTTTTGTTTTCATAAAAAAAGGTTTATAGACTTTTGAGTCTTACTTGGTCTATTTTTCATTTCCTTGCAGGTAATTGAGGATGATAATTCTGAAAAGCATAGGGACATAAAGGTAATGGGGTTTGGCATTTAAATATATTTTCTTTTCTTTCATCAGCACTTGGAAATCTCTTGGTTCTCAATCTCACCTCGTCTATATTCTGCTAAGCGTTTTCCCTTTGGGAATCCTTAGAGATTCCTTGGGAATATTTTGGAATTTGGAATTGCATTTCTCAACCGGGGGAAATTTGTGTATTTAACAAAGTTCAAAAGAAACCAGCATTTTCACCTGTCCATTTCAATGAAGACAACCTGTTTAAAGCGTTTTCCAGCTTTTCTTGTTGCCTTTCTTAGCTGGATAAATGGTTTTAGTCAACCAAGTCCATTTTCTGAATTTTCGGGATTCTAATGCTAGAGACTAGAGTCTTGTTGACATATATAGTCCCACATTGTTTGTATGTGCAACTAATGTGGAGTTTATAAGACCTTGGGCACTCCCACCCTTTGAGCTAGTTTTTGGGATGATGTATCCCAAGGTTCTTAAACTTTTGGGGTGGTGACCTAAGGTTTTTAACATGGTATTAGAGCCTCGCCGCCCCCCACTTTCTCTTGTGGCGTCTCTTAGCACAGGTAGACTGGGCCTGTTGCATTGTCCACTCTTCAAGTCCAATGGGCTCTCGTGTGAGGGAGCGCGTTGAGATATACAGTCCCACATTGGTTGTATGTGCAACTAATGTGGTCTTTATAAGACCTTGAGCACTCCCACCCTTTGAGCTAGCTTTTAGAGCGGTGACCTAAGGTTGTTAACATTGCTAAGAACCTTCCTTTTTCAATCACTTTTGTAATTACTTCTGTTACTTCTCCCACATGTCCTTGGTAAATATGTAACTTACTCGAGAAGCATGCAAATTTCGAGTTAAATTCTTTATCAATTTTTCACCATTATATAAAGCTGTTTATTGTCTGTAATCTATTCACATTATGGCTGTTCATTACATTTCTTGGTAAGTTATATCATGAATATTGTTCCCTGTGCTATTTCTGACTAACCAATTGACTTCCACTGTCACATTTTGGGATCTTAATTTGTGGTGTCTGTTCTTAATACTTGTTTTACTGTGAAGCTTGACTGATATTTATTCATGTCTCAGATTTGTTTTATCCCCTTCAGTAAGGGCATACTTTACTATGTCTCTCGAAGAACTCATAAGAATGAGAGAGTTTCTCAATATTCAATTAACTGTGTTTTGAAACTATTTCAGGGTCGGATGAGGGCCATTTCAGAGGTGAGTTTGATGCCTTTATTCTAAAAGCAACAAGCAGAAACTGAAACTGAGATCTCATAAGGAAGCTCATGGGGTGATGCATGTTGACAATGCGATTGCTCTGGGGGCTAAAGTTACTCCTACTCATACTGCTTCAAATTTTATACATTGACAAGTCAACCTGCAAATTATACGGTAAGCTTTTGTAAATTTTTTTTCTCCCACAATATTCAAGAACAAGCTTTCTATAACAAAAAGTATCTGGAAACTGCAGTAAAATGGTGTGAATTTCCCATGATCTTTGTGCTCAATTCATCAGTGCAAGTACTGCTGGCTTGGTATTTCCATTTTCAAGCTATGAATTAAACAGACATGGTCTAGGATTAATTTGTGTATGTAAAGAACCTTGGGATACACCACCCCAAAAGCTAGCTCAAAGGGTGAGAGTGCCCAAGACCTTAAAAACTCTACATTAGTTGCACATACAACCAATGTGGGACTATATATCTCAACACGCTCCCTCACACGAGAGCCCATTGGGGTTGAAGAGTGGACAATGCAACAGACCCAGCCTACCTGTGCTAAGAAACGCCACAAGAAAAAGTGGGGGGCGACGAGGCTCTGATACCATGTAAAGAACCTTGGGATACACCACCCCAAAAGCTAGCTCAAAGGGTGGGAGTGCCCAAGACGTTATAAACTCTACATTAGTTGCACATACAACCAATGTGGAACTATATATCTCAACAGTGTAGATGGCTCTTAATTAGACCACTTAAATGATAAATTTTCATCTATCTTACCATTTTCTCCTGAAAGTATACATTGGTCTACAAGTCAGATATCATTAATTTCAAAAGGGCATAGAATGTGGGTTAGCCAATTACTGAGCTGGTTACAATTACACATTTCTTAAATGCAGCTGAGGCTTTGTTCACTTTCAAGGATTCACTTGACAGTCCACAGCAATTCAGATGCAGCATTGTGAAATATCCATGTCAAAAGCAATGGCCATGTCTTGACTGCTATAAACTAAAAGATCCAGGTGCTTTTTCGCTAATTATTTGTAAGCTCCTTCTCTCAGTCTCGCTAAATTTGTCAGGACTGAGTAAAACATTGAGATTCAGTCTAGAATTTAATTGCTACGGACATTGATTATTATGATCAATGGATCATGCTTGAATTTGTAAAATACAAATAATTAGTTAACTCCATCCTTTACTTCCCAATCACACTACTTTAATTCACCATGACCTTGGTAATGTATATGTTGAGATATATAGTCTCACATTGGTTGTATGTGCAACTAATGTGGAGTTTATAAGGCCTTGGACACTCCCACCCTTAGAGCTAGCTTTTGGGGTGGTGTATCCCAAGGTTCTTTACATGGTATCAGAGCCTCGCCGCCCCCCACTTTTTCTTGTGTAGTTTCTTAGCACAGGTTGGCTGGGCCTGTTGCATTGTCTACTCTTCAAGCCCAACGGGCTCTTGTGTGAGGGGGCATGTTGAGATATATAGTCCTACATTGGTTATATGTGCAACTAGCATTCCCACCCTTCGAGCTAGCTTTTAGGATGGTGTATACCAAGTTTCTTTACAGTATTAATATTAAGTATATCCATACTTGTGTTTTCCATATTTGTTTATCAATTTTTGTGACTTGAGGTTTGGTATGTTAAACATCCAGTGTCCTCTTTAACCAGATGATAAGAATTTTCACTTTTTACTTGAAATGTTTTCCTTGAAAACTTCGAGCTCAATCACAAGAATAGTAAGAAAAGCTCTCTACTTGAGAAACAGGTGTAATAACAGCAAAGATAGATGGGAATAATGACATTCCAACACTTACACCTCTTCAAGAAGCTCAAGTTGACAAACAAGGAGGAAGAAGGGATGCCCTCATAGTTGGTGTTGTTGTTTCTGCCTTAGTTGTCATTGTCATTGTGGTGATTGTTTATATCTGCTTGATGAGGGTCAAAAGATTCATAAGGCAAACATCTGAGAGTGCTTCTTCTATGCCATCTCCAACTGGTAAGTTAATTTGAGCTCTTTAATATGAGTAGATTTGATTCTCTTCGTTGTCATTATTATAATATTTCTTCTTGCTTGACAGTTGAAATGGGAAGTGGCAACAACTCGCATTATGTTAATGCTTTCTCTCCACATTATTGCCAGAACACAAGGCAGTTAACAATTTTGGAACTAGAACAAGCTACAGGAAATTTTAGTGAGAGCAATATTATAGGTGAAGGTAGATTTGGTTTTGTTTATAAGGGTTTGCTTCAAGATGGGTCTATTGTGGCTATAAAAAGGCGCCTATTTGCTCTGACACGGGATTTCATACCTGAGGTAAATATGTTACGAAATTTCTCTTTTGTTTGTTTTTAACATGAATGCCAACTAGCATTCTTAGCTCCTACATTGCCATATAATTCAGCAGAAACCCTATCTGCAGGTTTAGAAAGCTGTTTCCAAGTAACACTTTTGATTTCTTTCAACGAATGATAGGTGAAGCAGATAGCTGACATCCACCACATCCATCTTGTCAAGCTTATAGGCTATTATGAAGATAGCTATCAACAATTACTTGTGCATGAATATCTCCCTAATGGCAATGTAGGGAATCACCTATATGGTATTCTTCCCCCTCTATCTTTCTGTGAAGTTTGTTCCACATCTCTTTATATCTTTTGCTTAAATGCATGTTGCTATGCAGACAGTGAAGGTTTACCAATTGGAAGGTTAGACTTGTGGAGAAGGTTATCCATTGCTTTAGGCACGTCCAAAGGTAAATCCATTTTGGCTATGATTTTTACTATCCTTTTTTCTACTGGAATTCAAAACAGTCAATTTAGTCTATACTCTTGCAACAGGACTAGAACATCTTCACAGTTTGGTCCCTCCTTTGGTTCACACAAATTTTAGAACTAGCAATGTTCTGTTAGATGAAAATTATAATGCCAAGGTTTCTGATTATGGATTGTGCAAATTGCAAACAAAAGTTGATCAGGCTGGTTCATCTTCAAATGTAGATTGCTTTCTTGACCCAGAGTATGTTACAAACTTATTCTTTGAAGCAATGCCCCTCTCCTTTTTTTTTTTTTTGGATTTTCCTTGTTGATTTGAGTTACATGGACATTTTTTCCCCCACTAAGGTTCAGCTTATCACAAAACTATTCGGAGCAGAGTGATGTATACAGCTTCGGGGTCTTCTTACTAGAGTTGATTAGTGGCTGTGAAGCACATAACAGAAACATGTCAAACCCCGAGGAAAATCTAGTATTCCAGGTACAATTATACATGCTTCCAAACTTGGTGGTCATTTCCTTATAAGTTACACTGAAACTTTGTAAGAGGTTTCTCATCTTAACTTTGTTTTTGAAGGCAAAAAATAGCAATGGCTTGGACAAGTTTGTTGACATAACGCTAGGAGACCATGAAAGGCATGCTGCTAGACGAATGATGAAGTTGGCGTTGCTATGTGTTGATGTGACTTTTAGAAGACCATCAATGGCGCAAATTGTGCAAGAACTGGAGCGGATTCAAAGAGAAATTGCTCCTTTGTGTTGTCAAGTTAACGAGGAGATTGGTGTGGTCACTCTTGGAAGTGAACTCTTCCAATAAGCCTTGTGCTTTATTTATTTTTTGAGGTGCACAATTATTATTACTATGGTTCTTGTAGGTAATGGTCCTCAAAGGATATTCATTTGTAATTAATTACATTCTTCAAAGTAAATAAAATATTGAAAATTACATTGGATAAAATAAATTTGTACTAAAGAGATGTCTGCAACATGGTATTTATAGAATTTCTCAAGTACTATTATATTACCTTATTTCGTCATCAATTTTTAACGATTCTTAATATTTTTCTTTGAATTCTTACTAGTTAGTACACACAAATTGAAAATTATTCAATGCTCCTATTTAGAAATAATTACTCCTTATTTCTAAAAGAAAAGAATTTAACAGAATATAATATTGTTTTTTTTTTTTTTTAAATTAGTGTAATTTTTAAGGAAATGGCCCAAGTTTCAAGCTTTGCTTTTACTTGTTTCGATTTGATGGAGGATCTAAAAATTTCCTTGTCAACGAGTATTTAAAAAATGAAAAAGAAACGCATTAATTTCATAGATATATATATAGATGAGAGATATTTTCACTACCAAAAATTTTTACTACCAACTTACTACCTATCTAATCATCATTGGATTAGTATTTTCTCTCTCTTCAAAAACTTTATAGCATTCTCTCTCTTTGATCCAATGGTGATTAGATGGATAGTAAATTAGTAGTGAAAAATTTTGGTAGTAAGAATATCCTCCCTTATATATATATATATATATATATATATATAGAGGCAGGATCCTTTGACACCTCATTTGAGAGCCGTTAGATAAAAAAAGATCAACGACTCTGATTTGTAATCATGTGACACCATTGATATTTTTTTATCTAACGGTTATCAGATGAGGTGTCAAACTTCAAATTTTACACCGGTGTCAAAGGATCCTGCCTCATATATATATATATATATATATATATATATATATATATATATATATATATAGGGATTTGCATTTATCATTTAACATGACACAACAAATTTTCCTACACACACAACATTTTGTGGGGCCCACACTTCTTGAAGAAAAAAGAAAAGAAAAAATTATGGCACACAAAACAAATCTCTATAATATTACAGAATCACTCTTCCTACAACATAACTCTTATAAAATCCATATATATATATATATATAACCAAAAATTTCGAAGTTTGCATCTTGGTCGTGGATCCACGTTTACGTTCTTACAAAACCACGATTGTTAGATTGTTTTTGACGGAAGAAACGGCGTCGTAGAATTCATTTCCATTCCCATTCCCACTTAATAGTTCAAAGTCAACGAAGTCTCACATCACACACTCACAGTCTTATACATCTCTCTCTCTCTCTCTCTCTCTCTCTCTCTCTCTCTCATTCTTTGTCTCTCTTTTATCGATTCGTTTCTGAATCTGAATCAGTGTTCCTTTCACTTCAACAATGCGAATCCTCGCTGTGCTTTCGATCACAACCCTTCTCCTCTTCTCCTCCTTCTCTCTCATTTTCTGCAACGACGTCGCCGACGATGAAGATCTCAGCTTCCTCGACGAACCCGACGACATCTCCACCTCGCACCACCACGAACACTTCGACGATGACGCTGATTTCGGTGACTTCTCTGGCTACGACGACGCGGAGGCTTACAAAGAGCCAGAGGTGGACGAGAAGGACGTTGTCGTTTTGAAGGAGAAGAATTTCACCGACGTGGTGAAGAACAATCGGTTCGTGATGGTGGAGTTCTACGCACCGTGGTGTGGTCACTGCCAGGCCTTGGCGCCTGAGTTTGCTTCCGCCGCCACCGAATTGAAGGGTGATAATGTCATTTTGGCGAAGGTTGATGCCACGGAGGAGAATGATTTGGCACAGGAGTACGATATTCAGGGTTTCCCCACTCTCTTCTTCTTCATTGATGGCCTTCACAAGCCTTACAATGGCCAAAGGACCAAGTAACTTTCAAATTCAGAATTTCAATCCAAACACCATTTGCATTTCCCTTTAATCCTTCGATAATAATTGGATCTGACTTTTTTTTTTGTTAATTGCAATACAGAGATGCTATCGTGACCTGGATTAAGAAGAAGATAGGACCTGGTATGTCCAACATAACCACATTGGATGATGCTCAACGGATATTGACCTCCGAAAGTAAAGTTGTTTTGGGCTTCCTCAACTCTTTAGTTGTAAGTATTCACTTCCCCGTCTTTAATTTTTGTTACATTTTTACTTCACGTTGACTAGTCTGGTTCGATCTACTAGGACCAGTTCTCAAATGCAAGTGGATTTTTTTTTTAATTACTTAAATCAAATGTCCATTTTAAAATGGTTTGTCAAATTGATGTTTGCATATGATATTCATTATGATAAGATAATTTCTTCATAGTAAGACACATTGCTGTATTTACTAAATTCTAATAAATCCGTAAATTTCTCCCGGATGAAGCTGAGAAATTTGAATGTAAAGGCTATTTGCCATTGTTGATTCTCTGGATTAAATGATAGGCTTGAGCTGTAATATTAAATATATGAAATTGTTGGTTGTTATGCTTCATTTATCCTATCATAATATGCAGGGTCCTGAGAGTGAGGAGCTTGCTGCTGCTTCAAGAGTTGAGGATGATGTCAATTTTTATCAAACTGTGAATGGTGATGTTGCAAAGCTTTTCCATATTGACCCAAATGTTAAACGCCCGGCTTTGGTTCTGCTCAAGAAAGACGAGGAAAAACTGAACCATTTTGGTTTGTTTTATTTCTCATTCTTATCTCTCTTGCCCAAAAAAGGTTCCCTCCCACCCACCCTTCTTTCCCCTTGTAAAATTGATGTATTTTCACCCTGTCTCTGCAGATGGTCAATTTGTGAAGTCTGCAATAGCAGACTTTGTATTCTCCAACAAGCTTCCTTTGGTGACTATTTTTACGAGAGAAAGTGCCCCATCAGTCTTTGAAAATACAATCAAGAAACAGGTAATTATTTATATACATTTATCTTATTACATTGTTAATCTCTTAAGAAAAATTTTCGTGACAAATGAAATCATAGCATTCTTCTAACATTGTTGTGTTTGAAACTTCGTTTTTAGTTGTTGCTGTTTGCGACATCAAATGATTCAGAGAAGCTCATCCCCACATATCAAGAAGCAGCAAAATTTTTCAAGGGGAAGGTATATTTTCATTCAAGCTATTGTTTATTAATCTCTGTTATGTCATTCTTTCTTTGGAGTCTAGACAAATTTAAATATGCCTTTCATTTCATAAGAATTATTGCTTTATTAGAATTCCGGTGCATGGTACTGCTAAGTGGGTCATGAAAGTAGATTGAGAGGATGGGGTAGGTGAACAAATTTAGTTAAGATAGCATGGGATTGAGTTTATGAATGGTGGATGTAGTTTTCTATGGTGATTGTTTGGAAACTCAAAAACTGGATAATGAATAGGTTTTCAAATCTTACGTGTTGGGTTATCACTGAAGAATTGAAAAATTAGTTCTTATTTGATTTGTTTTAGTTCAAAAGGAGTATGGAAAGCACATAATTCTTTTTAAGCTAATAACTTTTAACCTTTATCGTTTCCTGTTTCCCTGTATCTATGTCTCTATCCTTTTATTTCATTCTAATTTACATGATATTTTTTACAAAAGGATTGACCAGTATTTGGCGGACAATATTTCATGTAAAGTTAGTTCAAAACCGGTTTTTAAACAAAATAAGCATAATTTTAAACCTTTTCAAATTTGTATAGATTAGCAAAACGAGTTTAAACTTGATCTGTTATGAACTTTTTCAATTTTTCAAATAACTCAGGTGTATACCTCGCTATTATTAATAACCCTCCCCCTATTTTGTAAAATTGTCAGAGTTTGGCATTGACTTGTTGAGTGCCGATATCTGAAATTTGTTCTTTCTTTTTGGTTTTGCTACATGTTACTGATAAAAATCTCATATACCATTTTAAATTTAGTCAATGGTAAATTTTACTTTCTGCATTTTGCTGCTAAAAATTCCATATATCATTCATCTGGCTCCCCCAGAGATTTTGGATAATGATTTAATTGTGTATGCAATTATCTGCTGCAGTTGATCTTTGTATATGTAGAAATGGATAATGAAGATGTTGGAAAGCCTGTTTCAGATTACTTTGGTATCACTGGGAGTTCTCCAAAAGTAATTGTTTCTTCTTCCATTTTTTAATTTTATTTAAGTCATAAGTCATGAAATTCATGACATTGAAATATTGCATCCTTTAGATCATTTGGAAGTATATTCAAGTAACCAGTGGAATTTCCAATACAGGTACTCGCATACACTGGAAATGATGATGGAAAAAAATTTGTACTTGATGGTGAAGTGACTGTCGACAATATCAAGGTACTCTGTTCTTCCTTCTTGCCTGGGGCTCTGTTAATTGCTACCATGTTATGGAATGTGCATGAATGCTTTTTTCTATCATTTAATAGGTTTGGAAGCAATATTTTGGCTAAAAATTTCTTAATGTCATTTTTTTTCCAGACATTTGGGGAAGATTTCCTTGAAGACAAACTTAAACCTTTCTTCAAGTCAGATCCGATTCCTGAAAGTGTAAGTTATTTAAGAATGGGTTCTCTCATCACCATTGATTTGTATCTGGATGGCTAAGAGCCTAAGACCCTTTCACATTACCTCAGTTCACAGAAGAGGATCCATTCCCAAGTTATTTTGTTTTCAAGCCGTCAATTATGCTCTATTGAGAAGTTTTTTTAATGTCTAACATGTTTACTAACTTGGTGACAGAATGATGGTGATGTGAAAATAGTTGTTGGGAATAACTTTGATGAAATTGTCTTGGACGAGTCAAAGGATGTTCTCCTTGAGGTACAGTTCTAACCCTCGAGTTTATAATTTATATTTGCATCGTCACGCTGCTTGTGTTAATTTAATATTTGTTGGAATATCAGATTTATGCTCCTTGGTGTGGCCATTGCCAAGCACTGGAACCAGCATATAACAAGCTTGCAAAACATCTTCGTGGTATTGAGTCTCTTGTAATAGCCAAGATGGATGGAACAACAAATGAGCATCCCAGAGCAAAGGTAAATCCAAATTTAAGCTAGATGTTTCAAGCATATGGTATATGCTATTGTTATTATCAATTGAAATGGTATGTGGTCCAACTCATGCTAGGTTTTGAATTTGCAATCAAGCATAAAATCAGACGCCATTATGCATTTCATAAATGCATCTGTACTGAGTAATGATAATATGTGAGAATTTATTGATCAATATTGATTTATATTTCACTTTGCAGGCTGATGGATTCCCCACTATTCTCTTCTTCCCAGCAGGAAACAAGAGTTTTGACCCCGTATGTGAATGTCATACATTACATATTTTATCAATTAAGCTATCCTAGATCTGTGCATATCATGAGGTGATTTAAATATATCATTTGTTCGTTGTGTCTGCAGATTACTGTTGACACAGATCGTACAGTGGTAGCCTTTTATAAGTTCCTCAAGAAAAATGCATCAATACCATTCAAGCTCCAGAAACCAACCTCAACTCCTAAACCCGAAAGCCCTGATGCCAAGGGGAGCTCTGATGTCAAGGAGAGCTCTGATGACAAGGAGAGCAAGAGTATCGGTAGCGATGTGAAGGATGAATTATGAGGAGTCAAGTAATATATTGCTATTTATACCGATCTGATTCAGGCAGATGATGACATAGTGAGTTAGGGAGAAAAAAACATCTTTCTCCTCACCCTTGGCCAATAAAATTGGGGGTTGGAGAGGTGTGAAAGGCAACATTTGTATTACTATTTGCTTCAGTTGTAACGACTGTTCGTATTTTAGAATTTTGGGTGAGAATTTAATAATAGACCCCCCCCCCCCCCCCTCTAAATTTTAGTTTATCCCCCTGTATGCTACAACTTACAAGCAATCTTAATTCATAGTATGAGTAGATTATAAATTTTTTGCAATACAAACCATCATCAGTTTTAGGTTATGAAAGTTTTAATAATCAGGATAAAGTGTGAATAAATAAATAGAAGTGCCAATAGTCACACTCATAAAAGTGATTACTTACATATTTTATTATGATTATGGCTGAAGTCGGTTTTTTTATTTTTTATTTTTAGGATGCAGGTAGGTTTGTTTTTAAAGTTTTAATAATCAGGATAAAGTGTGAATAAATAAATAGAAGCGCCAATAGTCACACTCATAAAATGATTACCTACATATTTTCTAATGATTATGGCTGAATTCGATTTTTTTTTTCGGATAAAGGTAGATTTGTTTTTTACTACTTGATGTTGATTTTAATTTGTAGTTTGAGATCTGAATAAGTCGTGGAATAATTTAATTTGGTAGTTTATATTTAAATGGGTCATAAACACTTTGATTTTGGATACTAAATGTAATTTGATTATTAATGAATGAGTTAAAAGGATAGAGTTAGCAGCTACCTTTTAATGATCGGGTGGTCTATGTCGAGCATATTGACAATTAATTAAAAAGATGAAGGGTCGGGTTGTGAGCTGTAAAATTGTAATTTATCATTCCTACTGCACTGTTTGTATTTCTAGAGCCGAAGATCTATCCCTCATAGGGTGAAGTAGGTTGATTTAAGGGTACTTCAAGGAACAATGGTAAAGATCAAGGCTCAATGTGAGTTTTCCAATATTTTGTAGTAGGGGTGTATGTTTTGGTTACAGTAGCTTTATATTTCAGAAGAGAACTCATGAAAATAAATAGAACATATGCTCTTTTAATAGGAGAAGAGGGTAATAGAGTTGTATCACCGTTAGCCTTGCTTTGCCTCTGCTGGAAGGCGTTTTGCATCAATTGTCAGTACAATGGACAATAGTGTAAGGATAGGTTGCATCAATTGTGAGTACAATGGAAAATATGGCTCACAATAAGGCATCCTCTAGAAAGTTTTAAATATGAGCTATTAATACTGGGCCAACAAAGTGAGCCAGTTGGAACACCTACCTTTATAGTCGGGGAATTTACCAAGACAAATTGTCACTCTTGCTTAATTATGAAAATAGAGGTAGGATCATTTGATATTACTGTCAAATTTAAAATTTGACACCTCATCTGAAAGTCATTAGATCAAAAAAGATCAATAGCTCTGATTTGTAAGCATGTGACACCATTGATCTTTTTTGATCTAATGGCTCTCAGATGAGGTGTCAAATTTTAAATTTGACACTGGTGTCAAAGGATCTGCCTTGTGAAAATATATATTCTTATCAATGTCAAAGAGATTTCATTTATTAATAAAATTGAAGTAACTCATTTCAAGTATGAAATTGAAGCATTCAAGTAAGGAATTATAAAAAAAGGAATCAAACTATGAGGACAAAGCCTCGACTCAGGATTAGTCTCTTAATTGTCTCAAAAAGTTGAAGCTTGTGGATATTCGGAAACTGACTCTCCTCAAATAAGTAATTAAGGTCGGAATACCAAAAAAATAAAATAAAATTGAAAGTGGTTAAAAATTTAAGGAGAAAATTATTTTAGTTAAATATAGTTCTTTTCGGGCATAAGTCAGTCCCGAAGAAATTGAAGAACACTTCAATGTGTTATTAGGACGATATGAGTGCAAAACAATAAAATATACTGATTCTAAAACAAAGAATCATAGTATTAATGCCTTACATTTTATGTCCTTTGAATGTAATTGAGGTTTGCCATCTTCTAATTAAATTGTTAACTATTCAACGCCAATGAGGCTGAAACCAATTTATCTTATTTTTCTTTCCACCAAAAAAGAAGGTGGCGTATGTAATTAGCTCAATCAATCGTATACAACAAGGGCCAATTATTTAATTAAGTTGAGCATCAGTAGTTTCTAGGCTTATATAAAGTCATGAAATAATTACCTCATAAACTTCAATAATTTTATATTTAAGATGGTTGTTTAAAGATAAATTATATTGAAAAGCTACTAGAATTGGTCTAACGGTAAATAATTTTGGTAGTTTGTATTTAAAGATAAATTATATTGAAAAGCCACTAGAATTGGTCTAGTAGTGAGGGGAGTTTGTATTAAGTTATGTGTTCAATTTCTACTATTTTATCCAATTTTTTTATTAAAAAATTACTTGAATGATAAAACTACAATTTTAAATTTTATTCCCATTTTATCAGAGATAAAATTGATTTAAAATCATAAATTATATATTTAGATTGCGCAACCAACTATGGCATTAAATTGTAATTAAAATTTCTATTCTAATTCTAAGTCTTGATCAAGGTGTGGCTCAATATAGCTCTAACAACACACGTTAAAGAAAACGTTAGTATTTGCGAAGTCATTGGCTACTTTGCAACGATGATTATTGCTCTTTGCTAGTTGCTACAGTAAGAGAGCTCCATGCAAGTATGGAGGGAGTTCAAAATCCTTTACAAGGATACTTCTACCAATAAATCAAATGACAAATTATAATAATTGAGTTGACACTAGATTTTAACCCAAAATTATAATGTTTATATGATCAAAACACAAATGGATCAAAACACAAATTATAATTAGTGGGTTGATATTACATCTCAACCCAAAAGCTTATAATATGATAGATGAATGGTTCTTCTTGTTTATATGATCTTCACTTGATTCATTTCTAACTGAAAGGAGATTTTAAACTACTCACACTTGAATATTTCTAACAATATATTTCCAACAATATATTCATTTCTTGATGATTGATTAGCACGTACAGAGATAGATTAAAAGAAGCATGTTCATTGCTCATGCAGCCCACCATCGAATCAGGCAAATGATAGAGAATAATAGTGATAAATTTAATCATAATAATATATGGAAGATAAATTTATTTCTGATAATCCCAAAATAATATCGTTTTAGTAGATCTTTAATGTATTATTTTGAGTCGTTAACTTATTTGATTTAGGCTCAAATTAACCCCATAATAAAGACGCACGACCTTTGAATGATAAAACGTGAATCCATCCACGGTATAGGTTATAACAAAATTATGAAATTATTAATCAATTGCCACCGGAAGGAACTTTAAATATTTGAAATTGAAACCCATAAATGGCACTGACGTACGTGTTTGGAATATGACAAATTATGTATCTCATTCCATGATTGCCATTGATAGTTTTCCCATTATTTAAACCAACTTGACGTTTGGGAAATGAGAATCGACGAGGGTTAAATTCATGCCATACGAAGCAAAGTGTACCGACATAACGTAGACATAAGATACATTTAAAACCCATAGAAAATGCAAAGTTCTTTCGTGAGTTGCATGAAAAGTAAATTTTGCAAGCAATCTCTTAAAAAAAAACACGTTTCTACGTGTGTCCAAATCCATAAAAATCACTTTCTCTTTCGCTTTCTCGTCTATATGTACAGTTGTACACCGCACCACAATAAATTAGCAAGAAGCATTAACATTGTTGAGCATCCCAAAACTCTGATTTCTTTTCCATAGCATAATGCCATTCTTTAGCATTTTCACATGCACTTAACTTCCTTATTAATCTTCAACTAATATTCACTTTCCTTCATTTCCCCGTCTGATTCGGTGCATCGCGCCGTTTTTCCGTTTTTTTTTTACACTGCCTACGTGTCCGAATCCCGTGCATCCGATTTTTCCGCATCTTCTCTCGGTAACCGCTTTATCTGCTGTTCAGTAAGTGTGACTTCTCGCAGAGTCAGATCTACCGGTTTTCCGTTTCTGTTCAAACAGTTTTCTCACTCTTTCTTCTCTTCGCTGCCTTTTCAGATCCACACTTTCTCTCTTCAATCTTCAACGATGGCAAATGCAATATTTTCCTTTCTCTCTCTCTTGTTGCTCTCTCTTTCGCTGCATGTCACCGTCTCCGCCGATTCACCGCCGTCTCCGTCTCCGTCTCCGTCGCCGCAGTCACCCGCAGACTCTCCTTCTCCTTCTCCATCTCCATCTCAATCTCCATCTCCTTCCATCCGCGCTCCGTTTCCTGCCCCGGCCAGCTCGCCCCTAGGTTCATCGCCGCCGGCGCCTTCGAGTCCTGCTCCTTCGCCGGGAAGTTCTCCGTCTCCGGCGCCTGTGGATGGTAGCTCAATCAACCACACCGGTGTAGAAGCGGCGGATGAGAAATCAGAGGATTCATCTGACGGAGGAATGAGTGGAAGCAAGAAGGCCGGAATAGCGATCGGTGTAATCATTGCTGCGAGCGTGATTGTATTGGCAGGGATGGTGTACAAGAAGCGGCAGCAGAATTTCAGGCGGTCTCAGTATGGATTCGCCGCAAGGGGAGAGATTCTGTAAAAGCCTTAAAAAATAACTGCTACATTAGTATCTCTTGGCAATGATCGAGGTTATCCTCTTCCTCTAGAATCCTAGATACCAATACCATATATGTTTCTTTTCTATCCTATTTTGGCGATAATCTGATACGGATTCAATTTTATTCTATATTCTTTTTGCTCTTGATCTGTGATCTAAACTATCATTATCATCATCATTTTGCAGATTTCCTTTCGCTGCTAGTTGTAATGAAGAGACTGTAAATTTTTATATTTTACTATCAATTCGTGTACGGTTCTACTGTTTGTATTCTTTCTTTTGTTTCCGTCTGTTTTGCATGCAGCCTTTCTGGAGGGAATCCATTTATGTATCATCAATGTTTTATATTTCATTTGATGATTAAGAGTTCGACTAATTAAAATTTAAAACAACGGTCTTATAAATATATAAAATATACAATTTCATTTGTTATTTATTTCGAGGTTTAAAATTAATTCAATTTTTTTATTTATGAAAAAAAAAAAAAAACTGATTTATAAGACAAAGTGTTTTATTCAAATATAAATACTTATGTGTCAACAAATACTAGTTAACTCAAAAGGAGGTTGCTATAGCTAACTAAAAAGTCGTGCTCCGCCTACTTAAAAAATAAAATTAAAATATCGTGCTCCTCACGATGATCACTTGGATTTAAATATTAGGTTATGAATGTATCAAAAAAATAAATAATTATTAAGTTATGAGTTAATGTATCGTTTAATCTAACACATTTTATTACTTGAATATAATATAAAAGGCCATTTTTAAAAATAATTTTTTACGTATATATATTAAGTTCAATTATTTTATAAAATAAGATTAATTTATATTTGTTTTGCCTTAACTAAGGGTCATTTAACTGTAACAAAGCTATAATTCAGAGTTAATTTTATAATCAGCTCAAAAGATTAATAACTTGTAGAGATATTCGAGGACTAACTTGACTCAAAAAGATAATCAAGATAAATATAAAAAAAAAGGCATATTTTTGTGAAATATTCGAGAGCTGACTCGCCTCAAAAAAGTAATTAAGATAAATATATAAAAAAAAAAGGTAATTAAGATAATTTTCTTTGTTGTCTTAAACGTGCGAATGAATGAAACGTCTCATCAAGAAATTGGGCCTCCATGGATACCACAGTATCATCTCAACAGAAACCATAAGGTAAACATACAATAGAACAGATGACAGTCTTGACTTTCTGAAATCTGAATGATGGAGATACAGCTTGGTTGATATATCCAAAACCATACTGAGATTGTATAGCTGGCATTGTTCCAAGAATTTCTCTGTAATATTACCATTATTGATGGGGACAACGCAATACACATTGGTGTCTGTATACATGGTGCAACTGAGGAGTTCCCCAACCCCAGCTTTAATTGGGAACTTTGTTCATAGGAAATTTTCGCTTTTTTTCCAACTATGTTGAAGCATATACAATAGGATACGACAGTAATCAATCATCCTGGATTGCCCTTGTGTCAGGATCTCATTGGCCAATCAGGACATTGAGCCGTCTTGATTTTACTCCTCTGCAGGAGGGTCAACCCAACGTCCATGCTCTTTTATTAGCTCGATCAAGGCATTGGTTGCATGCTCCATTGCAATTCCACGCTTCACAACATCCTGTAATTGTAATAATTCCATTGAACTTACTGTCAAACTTCATTCAGCATACAAAGTTGAACACAAGTTGGGTTTTCTTTTTCAGGTTTTGGTTTTGGGCATAAAGAAAACCTCACCTTCCCAACATAGAGGTCAATCTTCCCGGGAGCACCTCCTACATACCCAAAATCTGCATCAGCCATCTCCCCAGGTCCATTTACAATGCATCCCATGATTGCAATCTGATGCAGGAGAAGGTCAATATCACAAAACAAAGGAATTTTTCTCATTTTGTGCAGATACAAATGAGAGTGAGGAGCATGATGTATATATAGAGGACATGATTTGATTACCGAAACACCAGGGAGGTGTGAGGTCTTCTCCCGAATTTGCGCACTTATTTCTTGAAGATCAAACAATGTTCTGCCACAGGATGGGCATGATACATACTCCTGCAAGTCATTTTAGGCATATCAATAAAGATCATTTGGCTATTTCTTTTTTTCAATTCAATCAATGTCTTATCTGTGCTTGAACTACATACTGTCTTTGTATTTCTCATTCTGCATCCTTGCAGCAAATTGAAAGAAGTGTTTCTAAGAAAGTCAAAATCCTTGTCTGGGGATTCTAAAAGAAGACCATCACCGAGCCCATCAACCAGGAGGGCTCCAGCATCAGAACCAGCACCAATCACTAAGTCATCCCTGTAGAACTGGTTAGGTTTCACAATGACTAATATTTCTTGCATTTTACCATAACTTTAAATTACCTGTGAATCCCATTTGGAAACTGAATGTGGTGAATAACCGCAAAGTTCAGAGAATTGTCTGATAGGTACTCAAATAACCTGATGCCAATATAATATATCAGGATTAGAAGAATTCTATGAACCAATAAAGATTAATTTTATAGAATCATATATACAAGCAGCTCATATCAGTCTAAACTTGTCACTCAATGATTAAGATTTTACTATTTAGTGCCCAACAGTAAAATTCAGAAAGCAAGGTTAGAAAGAGATACTGATTGGATTCATGTTGTCAGATTGTTGCGCCAAATAATTAATAATGTGTAATATTCTCACCGCCTTGCTGCATGCACTCTACTAACTTTGTCTTCTGTATAAGGCAGATCATGGAGAAGCATAGTAGCATCAACACCTTTGAGAATTTCCAGGTCTTCATAAGGCTCATCGCCTCGTACTGACACAACCAAGCGTGTGCCTAATAGGTCACAAGTTGATATAAGATCATACATGAGCTTTAGAGTGGATAAGAAAAGATGTTATCCGAGTAAATCACAGGTTAAAGTAAATTACATGGACCTTGCTTACTTTAAATTTAACTAACATAGATCCCCCTATTAGCTCATGTTGAAATTCAAGTTAAGGGAGCTCTATGTAATTTTCAAAACGAATGTCATTCACTCTGAAGGGAGATCCATGTAATTTATTTAGAATCTAAAAAAAGACCAAACCGATGATGAGTAGCACCTTGTGGTAAAAGCTTGTAAGCTCCTGTAACTAGTTCCTTAAGGTTCACCAGAACCATGGCATTGGGTAATGGCTTTGTTAGCTGCTCCGACAAAGGAGTTATAACCCCCACACTAATATCTATTAGTCTTTTGAGAGCTAGCCGCTGATCATAGTATCCAAAATGAGAAAGAGAAAAAGAAAATCATTCCAACCATCATAACAATATTACAATGCAGAAAATAGTTTGATGGATAATGAAGCAAACAAGCAAATGCTTCTATTTAGACTTCGTTGCCAAAGTGAAGGTTCTTACAGCATCAACATCATCTACCGGAGGAAGTTCCCGCAATAAGATTGAATCTACTGTTGCCAGATCCTGGATATATAGGGTCTACTATGTCAATAACCTATTATTTAAATCTATAAGACATCATCCAATAAGATAGAGGGGCAAAAACCTTAAATGGCATGCCAACAATGAGTTTGGCAGCAAGTGACTTGTAGAGGAGCTCGGGTGTCTGTAAAAATCAGGGGAAATTTTTTTCAGAATGACACAAGGCAACCATGCATCTCTACTCATCTCCTAACAGTATGAGAAAAATAAAGAGAATGATAATGTGATGCACATAAACATATAGACAGATAGAGACATCCAGTAAGACAAATAGAAAAGAGAACAAGGGAAGAGCTGTCCAAACGTTACTTTTAACTGATCCAAGGAGACTGACATGAGAACAGAACCATCCCGGTGCAGGACACCTCTGTAATCCACCTCCTCACCCTGCATTTAGAAGGAGAGTTCTGTAATAAATGCATGTGTAGTTCCACAAGAAGGAAAATGTGGAAATAATTTCAGAGTTTGTGTGTGTAGTATATATTTGGTTACATATTTCTACAAAGTTTATAATTCAACCTCTTTTTGCACTGGCAGTTGACCAGATCGGCGCTGGAAGTCAAAATAATGTCTGTGCTTTTCCTCAAAAGGTGCCTGACGGAGGTAGTGCCATTAAAAGTGAGTTCTTAGCATTTGTGGATGTCAGACTTCAGATAATTTAAGCATGTCAAATTGAAGCATTTTTTTGAATCATACCACCCCTTTCTGGAGTTCAGCTGCTCTCATTCCAAGGTTCGCCAACCTTCTGCAAGGATCTATCTCCTCCTCTGGTGGTTCTGTGAGAGAAACCCTAATTGTATCGCCCAATCCATCCTAATGAACAACACATCATCATCAACATACACTGTAAGTCTGTAATGAATGGTAAACAGCTGGACAAATATTTCCATTTTCCATGGCAATTGAATAATTTCCATTTAAAATGCAATCAATCACATGGATACCTGAAGAAGAGTTCCAATGCCAATGGCAGACTTCATCCTCCCATCCTCACCTTCTCCAGCTTCAGTAACTCCCAAGTGTAATGGATAATCCCAGCCTTGGACATACATTTCAGCTACAAGTAAACGGTAAGCCTGAACCATGACAACTGGGTTGCTTGCTTTCATTGAAAAAACAAAATTGTGATAGTCCAACTTTCGGCATATCCTCGCAAATTCAAAAGCAGATTCAACCTGTCCAATCATTGCTTAGTAAGAAGGACAATTCTGAGGGAAACACACAAACTCATAAAGAGGGGGAAGGACTGCATACCATTCCCCTAGGAGAATCTCCATAGTAGCTCATTATACGATCAGAAAGACTGCCATGGTTTGTCCCAATGCGCATCGCTCTCCCATATTTCTTACATTTCTCGACCAATGGCGTGAAAACCTAGCATTTAATAAAGCTTAAAATAGGTCAATAATTTCATATATCAGTTGTGGGCTAACAGGGAAGAAAATAAATTTTCCAAGCATCAGAGGAAAATACAAATATGACAAACATTTCTGGAAAACAAAAGCAATATTTTGTCTGGACATTTGTTCAGCTTGGGTGAAATCATACTCATTTTTTATTCTGGAAAACAAGGGATAAGGAAAGAATCTTGTAAACAGAACGATACAGCATCCCACATCCATTTCCTGAATATTCCTTAACAATTTTTTAAGCATCATTTATGTAACAAATAATTTGTTCCCACATTCTCAGTACGGACTACGGATGCATGTATAAGAGATTAGGAAGCCTAATTGAAGTGCCCATAAATTAGCATACTACTTGCCCTTCACCAAAATTTGAGATATAAAACAGATGGGTGGTTTGACCTGTTCAATGTGCTCAAGTTCTTTCTGATAATCTTCGTCTGTGTACTCTAACTGTTCAAATTGAGCCCGTCTATCAGCTGTTAAAGACCACCATCTTGAACTCAGAATGCAAGACAACACTTGAAAAAAGTAAAATAAAGGAAATAGAAAATTAAAGAAGACTAATGAATCAACGGAGATATGCATACCAAAATTTCCAGGGTTGACACGAATCTTATCAAAGCATTCAGCAACTCGCAAAGCAACAGCAGGAGCAAAATGAATATCAGCAACCAACGGTATGTTGTAGCTGGAAATAGGTAAATAAGGACGCAGATGAAAACATAAACAAAATGGGCTTACAGCATCAACTATGTCCAATATAGCTCACTATAATTTATGCTTACTTTTTCTGTACAAGGGAGTTTTTAATCTCAAAACATGCATCAGCTTCTTTCTTCCCTTGAACTGTTATTCGTACAATATCAGCTCCTTTATCTGCTATTCTCATCACCTGCCAATAGACAGCAGATAAATAAAACATAACTATTAAATCCATCAGTCAATTATATTAAAAAAAAAAAAAAAAAAGACAGATAGATTGGGATAACAGTGAAAATTGGCTAGAAGCTTGTGCTATTAGTGCAAAGCAGAAAAACAGTTGTATAACCTGTTCAACTGTTCCAGCAACATCCTTAGTGTCAGTTGTAGTCATTGTCTGAATTTTTATAGGATGCTCACTACCAATAGCCACGTCACCAACCATCACTGTCCTTGTTTTCCTCCTGACAGTTCTGTGTAATGATTCACAATACTTTTGCCTAGGAACTACATTCAAATTATTATCCATGGATCAGGCAAAACTAAAACAAGTAAATAACCACAGTAGCAGAAACACCTAAACAGTAATTAGAGATTCCATTTAGAAATTAAAAATAATAGACAAACAAAGCAATTGAAGCTTTAAATTCCACTTGACTAAAACTATTCAAAAAAAAAGTTATAGAGAAAAGTCCACGAAACAAATTCCATAGGTGTAATTTGTAAGGAATATAGAAGAATGCACTAATAATTGAGCATATTACTTATTGATTGCATGCAAAGTACTATAAGAACGAAGAACAAGTCAAAAAGCATAATGGATTAGAAAGCATACCTAAAAGAGGACTTCCTTGGGTTGCAGGTTGAAGTTCAGCAATATCTTGGCCAGGATTTGAGTTCCTGATAACTGCAACCTTTGTCCTCGCAGATTTTATTCTCTTCAAATCAGAAACTCTCACAAAATCCATACTTTTCGCAAACCCCAAACTGGAATCCCAAGTCTTGAGGGTAGAAAACGAAGCTGGCACAGCTCCCGAAGCCATTTTTGAAGCGCAACAACACCTTAATCATCACAGATTGGAAATTCAAATAAACCAAATCTTTAATTGGCAAACAGCATAGCAATTTTTACTGCATTTTTTTGATTCACAAATAAAAAAATGAGGTTTTCCATATTCTATATATATGGCTTCGCTTATGATATGCACATATAACTTCGATATATTAATTAATATAAATTAGGAAGAATTTATTATATTCATATGGGTTGCCCGGGACTCGCTCCTGTTTTTGTATAAATTAGGAAGAATTTATTATATTCATATATATAAAAAAAAGGTTGGTGGATTTGATGTTGACGTTGGCACGAGATTCACGATCCTATGTAGCTCAAGGTAAGTAATTATGTATGTACCTAATCAAAGTCAAGTCTAATTATTAAAAAAAATTATATTCTTTAAGGGTTTGATATTTTTGTTTTGATGTAGAAATTTTTTTAAAAAATACTCACATAAAAATAAGTGGGTTCATTATAAATAGAAGAGAGAAAAAAAAATTAATTAAACTCACTTATTTTTACGAGTGTGTCAAAAAAGTTTTTTTTGCAACAAAAGCAAAATAATATTAAATGCTTTTTAATTTATTAAGACATTAAGTGCTTAATATTTTTTATTTTAAGTAAATAAAAAAGATAAAAGCTAGTGAGTATCCTCAAAGAAGCATTTGTTAAGAATTTAAAAATAAAAAGTACGAAATGAAAAATAAAGCTTCTTAAGTTTTTCATATGTTAAATATTTTATTTTTATTAGATATTTCTTTTCATTAATAAGTGCTTTAAAATATAAGAAGAATTATTAAGAAGACATAGCACTACTTAATTACTTAACAAATTAGTATTTATCCATTGCACGGAGTTACAGAATAAAATAAAATAAATTTTATTTTATTATTAAAATAAAATAAGAAGTTATTCATACTCTTTTGAGAAAATTAGTAGTAATCAGCTTTTGCATAAAAAATAGGTAATAATTTAAAATTTAAATTTTAACATGAAAAAGAAATGAAACACATGTAAATGTATTAATAATGAGCTATATAAATTGATAGATTAATGACTTTCATGTTTCTAAAGTGAACGTAGATAAGTTATCTACATTCGCTCCCAAAATGACGTTGTTTTAGGTTGAAAAATTAAAAAAGTATGATGAAAAAGACTATTATAACCTTAAAATAAATTATAATTACAAAAATATCTTGATTTTTCCTTTAAAATGACGTCATTTTGGTCTCAATATAGATAAATTATCTATTGAATGTAGAAAAGCGAACCCTAGATTAATTACTATCTAACTTAGAAAAGAAAGCTAACATGTTGAAAGGAAAAAATGACATGATAAGACTGGCATGCAAAAGAAAACGTTACATATCCTTCAAACTAATCTTTGAAATAATTCTGCCAATTAATTACTCAAAGAAAAAGTATTAAATATTCTTTAAATTTCTAATATATAAAATGCTTTCACTTTGTTATTTTAATTAGGAAGATATCAAGGGCCCGTTTGGTGGATATGATAGAATAAGATGGATAGGATAAAAAGACTGAATAATAATAGGAAATAATGTGGACCAGATAATATTATATTATCCTATCATATGTTTGATAGGGATTAGATAGTGTTCGGATATAATAAAAATAGATAAAAATATCCTTTATAATATAATTTTATATAATTATTCAATTTAGATTTTTTCCTTGGGATTTTTTTTAAAATATATTAAAATACATTAAATAACTTTAAGTAATTTAAAGAAAAGGTTATGATAGTACTTAAAAAAGAAGAAGAAATGGTTATGATTTATAAACTATGTACTTTAGCCCTCTCTTCACTTTCGCTTTTTAGTTTAGCAAGTATGCTTTAGTCTTACAACCTTGATTTTTCATAGCATTTGCATTCGTAAATGCAATAGAGCAATAAAATTCTGCAAATGCCTCCGCTATAGAACATTGCTGTTATATATTCTTCAATTTGCAAAGAAGCAACAACTTCAAAATTGTCTTATCAACTTACTCGGGCCTTAAAATATAGGGGAAAATGTTTATTCTTTTAAATGACACAACTTATATCATTTCACTTTCACAAATAGGTAAGAGTGGAACCCATACCTTTATTTTTTTTGTCAACTCTCTCTCTCTTTTTATCTATCTTTTTCTCTTTCTTAAAATGACACAACTTTACATCCTTTAAAATATCACACACTTTTCCCTAAAATATATGATAGTTAGAAGTTGACAAAACTATAATGTCCAAGAATGATATTAAGATTTGTTCCCTTGGTAATCTTACATTTTCTGCAATATTGCCCAAATATTTTGGGCTCTGACTAGAAGTAATATAATGAAGAATAAGGTGAAAAACTATAATACCCCATCGTTCCATCCTACCCTGTTACAAGACCCTTTAGCCTAAAAGTACGAAACTTGGCAAAAAAAAAAAAAAAAAAAACAGCTCTCAATTGAGGCAACTTAGCAGCAAGATCCAAAGTATAGCCAATGCCAACAAATGTTCATAAAGAAGTATATCTTCTTGCTTGGTACCGTAGCTTCCATGATGATTGTCCATACCCAAAGTATTCATATCTGCACAAAACTATATATGATTCCAAGTAAAATTGTTGTTCTATACTTCATTTTTGTGTTGAGGAGAAAATTTTCCTGCAACCAAAATGCAAAAAAATTCATTCAGGACAACCACACATGTCATCATTGATAAAATTTTACAATTTGATTAAAAGAAAAAATAAATTTGAGCTATATAAGATAGAATAGTCAAAAGTTGAAGATAGAAATATTGAATATACAGAAAGGAAGATAAAGCAGATTGTTGTTCTCTAAAGTTACTAGTTAGTCAATCCATTAATCTTATATAAACCAACCATTAATCTTATATAATACATTAAAATTAGCAAAATCAACACCCCTTCCTCCCCCCCCAACAAAAAAAGAAAAAACGATGATAGATTAAAGGGTTAACGATTTCCTAAATAGTAACTGTAAAGAACCTTGGGATACACCACCCCAAAAGCTAGCTCAAAGGGTGAGAGTGTCCAAGGTCTTATAAACTCCACATTAATTGCACATACAACCAATGTGAGACTATATATCTCAACACGCTCCCTCACACGAGAGCCCATTGGACTTGAAGAGTGGACAATGCAACAGGCCCAGCCTACCTCACCCATCAACTGCTGTTGGGTGAAGCTACTTTAATGGTTTTATATATCTCAACACTAACATCACCTTCACATTGATGTCCACTTTGCTCTTCCCAACTAACTTCCCTTCGCCAACAGCAACCACCTCACCTCCTTGAGGCTTGCTTTGAGCAGTTGTTGGCAGTATAATACCACCCTCAGTCTTCTCTTCTGCATCCTTAAATTTTACCAGTATTCTATCACCCAGAGGCTTAACAGAGGTGTGCTGCTTAACGAAATGACCAATCAGGCACAAGTAGCATTGAGTTAAAACATATATGTAAAAACCAAAATACTAGAAATAGAAACAATCCTAAGGGCCAGGACTTATATATCAACAATCATGTTAGGTTCCATTACAAAGACTACCCAGAAAAGAAGCATCCAAATTATAATGTCTGTCAATTTACAAGCAAAATAAAGATATTGGACCCCCTTCGAGATGAAAATGAAGGATAATAGGAAACGAAAATAAGTGGTAGAAAATTGTTTCAACAAAAAAGGCAAGATATATCACGTGTTCATCAGCTGCGTTTCCATGCTCTCAAGCATAAAACCATATGAATTGCTGTTTGTACAGAGTAATTTTACCAAACCCACCAGACTCTCAATAAACCGGAGAAAACCTTCAAAATGCAAGTCCAAGAAGATTTTTACTAATGCTAATATTGGACTTCCTTAAAACAAGCACAATAGGTTCTTACGCAAAGAGCATCATTTTGTATGATTGATGCTCGTTCTTCTGGGAAGGAATTGTGGCAATGTCACAAACTGGACAAAGCATAAATAGCAAATGAAGCACAGGTGAAACGCTTTCAGTTTCTCTTTTTTCTCAAATTTCTCTCAGATGTAATCAACAACCAAGGACACAAAAAGAAAAAAAGAAAAGAAAAAAAAAGCTTTTGCTTGAAGCGAGCAATTCCATGGTTATCCTTTGAGATTAGGTGAGTTATCCAATTAAGTTTTCTTAATTTTCCCAACAAACAAAAAGCTTAGTCGTTTAAGGGGATAAAAATAGAACTAGAGTAGAGAATGTACCTTAATCAAAAGAATGCTGCGAAGCTTGGGAAGTGGAGGATCTATGAAAAGATAAACCCTAAACAAATATTGGGGTTTTATCCGATAATAGAGCCTTCTAGAATTCTCAACTCAAGTGTGGCATTATGGTTTACGCGGATGATTTCTTGATTGGGCCAAATCGATTTCCCGGATCTTGCAGCTGCCGTTGTCTGCGAGATAGTAGGTGGAGGAGATATTGGAGCAGATGTGGTTAGCATTGGAGTTGAAGATATCGTGAACCTCATTGGATCTTTGGAGGTAGAGGAGGTGAATGTTGAGGTAGTTTGTGGAGTTTTTCGTCCAACGCTCTAGCTATTTTTGTTACCCTATCCGGCTGAATCCTAACCCAGCCTACCCCTTCGGATATCTTATCCGCTTCCAGGAAGGATGAAATTAGCAAATATGACAAATCTATCCTATCCGGTTGGTTTACCAAACATGGGATAAAAATAGAATATGATAGTGTATCCTATCATATTCTCTTTATCAGGTGCATCAAACGGGCCCTAAGAGGATTGCATGCAGATATAGCATTATCCTTGTTCAACAGTACCTCATCGAATGAGGAAGCTATGTGACTTCTAAGTGCTTGCTTATTTTTTAAGTACAGATACACAAGTACTACTGTAATCGCTCAATTCATAATCCACAATGATTCTGTATAAACTGTTTCATCAACTGCAAAGTAAACTGGTGATAAAAATGTCCAATTTTCTGGCTTTTTTCAATTTCATCCATTATAGGTTAATTATGATAATCTCCATTCTTATAACATGTTAGGTTCGTTGCTTGACAACATGATTATGTAATAAAATAATAAACTTTTAAATCACGAGATACAGAACATTGAACAACTAAGTACAAAACATCCCAATGCTAAGTATTTGTTCCCACGGATGCTATGCTTGTGTATCAAGACAACCTGATAATGTGTATAGTTGATGGAAATACGTAGGTTTGGTGATAGTTTCTCACATTTCCCAGCGAAAGAATTGTCTTTACAACGTGGCTCTGCATATGAATCAGCGCTCATTTAAGTGGTTACTACTTCAACTAAAGAGTGCTTTTCCAAGATGGCAATTGTCTCTTCCTTTGCACTGCATATAGCACGCCAACAAGATAAATGTCAATGCACGCCGTAACTCCATGTAAACTCATATATGTATTTATGAAATATATACGCCCAAAACAAAAGGGAAAGTATCCAAAGATCTTGAACTAGCTAGTTCACAAACCATGTAGTTTTGAAAATTTCCTTATTATTTCAATATGTAATAACAAAGATTACCTGACACTAACAGATATATTCGATGACTCTTTGGTATTAGCATTGACATAGCACAGGCAATGGTAAAATGCATGATAAAATGCTTTAAACAATGTAGCAGAAAAGAATTAGCTCAACTATATCTACCTTCCAGGTCTGAGTATCTTATATTTGTGTGGTGTAGTGAGGTCCACAACTGTTGAACCTGCACGACCAGATGGAAGCAAACCACCATCATAAACAAAAGCACAATGTTCCCAAAGATTCTCAAAATCTTTGATGCAAACACTACTTGACTGTCCACTTAGGTTTGCACTGGTAAGGGCCAGGGCAGTTCCTGAACCACGAGCAACCACTCTCATGAAATTGCAATCAGGCACTCTAACTCCCACACTATCAAATCCGGGGTTCAAAGATCTTTCAAGAATACTCGAGTCTCCTGAAAAATATCAAAGTATACTACCACATGATATAGGATCATGACAACAAAATTTGATGTTCACACAAGATATGTTGAACAAAGGCATTAGACAAATGTTGTACACCAGTCTGCATACTTGCATAATTTTCATTTATATACATATATATATATAGGGTTTTATTAATCTCCTTTTAGATAAGATAGGTATCTTATGTTGTAGAGAGAAACTAGGTGGGTCCCACCATTACAGGAAAAAAGAAAAAGAAAAAGAAAAAGTGAAGTGCGGAAATCGAAGTGAGAGAAAATGAGATAAGCTACCTCGTGTAAAAGGAGACTAATATTTCCCATATATATATATAGGGGAATGTTATATTTACAAACTACACTATGTCTGACCGATAAGACACTCTTGAGTAAAGTTAGATCGGTCAGACATAGTGTAGTTTGTAAAAAAAAAGTTTGTCAATATAACCCTACTCATATATATATCATTTTTTCAGCATGACATGATTTACAAACCTCGACTTAGTACAACTGTAACAGGTCCTGGAAGGAGGGAATCAAGCAGGCCACGAGGCAAATGGCTAGTTACAGCAAAATGGTCGATGTCTGATACATCTCCACCACAGATAGCCAGAGGGCTTGTATGTTTGCGTCCTTTGATCTCATATATCCTGTTAACTGCTTCCAACGAGCTGCAAACATGCCACAATAAAAGGTAACAGGTAAATGACAAATCATTCATAAATCATAGTCCAATTGATAGAAATAAATAAGGTTGGTCAAAATATGTGGAAACTGTGGAGTGATTAATGATTGAATATTCAAAAAAAAATATTACAGGACAGGCAATTGGAAGGAGCCAATTTTATTACATCTGATGTCCTATAAGAAATGAGATGAAAAAAATTGTATGCATATGTGAATGTGATGATAAAAGGTTTATTGGAACACAAATAGCATACCAAGCGTCACAAGCAAATCCATAGAGTGTATCAGTGGGTACCGCAATAACCTTGCCAGCTTTCAAAGCTTGAACTGCCTCTGCAGCATAAGCATCTGTTGCAGGACGAACTACCCCAGTGTTGTTATCCAAACTCAAAGCCATGTTCTTGGGGAAAACCCTTCTCAGCATGTTACCCTGAAGCAAAAGATGCAACAGGTTCATTCAGTGCACTCGAGAGCAATAACAAGTTAACATTTTGACGGCAAATACCGGCAAAGAAAGAATTTTTAGACATGAAACTGGAGTGGGGTGGGTATAAAGAAAAAAAAGGTCTCAAATTTAAGGTTGGAGGAGAAAAGAAGCTGAAAATTGTAACCAAAGGGGCACCTCGGAAGGGAAGAGAGAGAGTGCAGCGATTCTTGTTGGACTAAACATCCTGTGCCAAGTGCCAACTACTCTGCATTCATAGTCATGTAAACCCTATACCTATGCCAACAATAAAACGACCATGTTTTGTCTACCCTACCCTACACATTTTTTTTTTTCGTCAACTAATTTAATTATATTAAAAATACATTTCAATATTTTTATTTTGATTATACACACATATACGTATGTTTATATAATAATGGGTTCGTTTTTTCTGCGAGTTACTGCAGAAGATAAGTTATCTGCAGTAAGTCCAATACGACGTCATTTTTGGAACAGAAATCATGGTATTTTTATAATTTTAATTTATTTTAGAGTTATAATAGTCTTTATATTTATAATTTTTTAAAATTTCAATACCAAAACAACATCGTTTTGAGAATAATTGCAGATAACTTATCTGCATTAACTGCAGAAACATTTTTACCTTATATAATCATATGTAGTTTCAGTTGGAATTCAAAATCTCATCTCTCTTACCGGTTTAACCAGGACCACTTCTAAAATCATTGGATGAAACTAAATCGCTACTACTGAAGTTTAGTGCATCATTATTCATTACAATCGGCATTGGCGCGTTAACACATTATTGTTTTATTTGCAAATAGATTTCCTGAATCATATTCTCTCACCAAAAATTACAAAAAAAGAAAACTATAAGCCTTCTCCTTTTGATGTGCTGAAATGCTTAGTAGTACAAAGAAACATAAGCTGTACAATTAAGTCTGGTGTGAATTTACAGTAGTAAAATTCTGCCAGAGCCTTAATTGGCTATACAATGACAACCCCATATCCCTTTAGATTGGTATTTGGTAACAATATGAAAGAAGCCATACAGACACATCAATTCAGCTCTGATTTGTGTGTTGTGTTGATTTTGCACCCAAGTTTTGAGTGCGGTTGGGAAGGCCTAAACGTGCGGTATTACAGTTTGAGGGTATTGTCCTTCTTGTGTTATCAGCTGAGAACCATGCTGCTGTTCTGATAAAGCCTGCCATCTTCTTCTCCATCTAAAAAGCTCCACAAGAACTGAACTTCCACTCAGCACTACACCAAACCCAGCAAATGCAGCTAGAAGGATTGACAGAACTGCTTGCTTATGAACCTGCACTTGACAAAGGTAATAGAATGAAGTTAGGAGTAAGTTAATCATTCATCATGAGGGGGTTTCATATACGTTCTCATGCATCTGTAATCAATTATTCATGCCACCAAAAGTTGAGGAAAATGCTTTTAGCTATATGTTCAGCTACAGCCATTCAGATAACAAAAAACATAAGATTGTAAATATTTATCATCAAAACCTCAGCCTTTGGCAATTAGGCATGCATGAGACTGGCCTGTGGAATTTGGATATCAAATAAAACCGGAACCTCGCTAGAATCAGGTTGGAAGATACATAGTTCCATTTGCATCTCCCAAGAAACTTTGTTGCTTTAAAAATTTGAGAGCACAGAATTTCATAAGCACCAAATTTCATACATGATCTATTCGTATTAATGATAAAAAACCAGTGCCATGTTTGATACATTTAACTATTTTCTTTTGGTAATAAGAAGTTTAGGCGAATGGGAGGTTTCCTCATTTGTAGTAAGCAAGATTAATTCAAACCTAACTTTTTTCTCACCACTCTTCCATTTTACCAATTGAACCAACCCTTAATGGCTGATCCATTTTACTATTTGTTTCTCAAAATAATATTATCAATCCTGGTTTCATGTGGTAAAACAAGAATTAAGCTTAATCAAAATCTATTACCAAGGAGTAAAATATATGTGCGAAGAGAACCACCAAAGCAAATTGGACAGACGCAAAAATCCAGATGAACCTGCTCCTCACTGGGCATCAAAGTTAAAAAATGTTAGGGTTTGCATATGTTAATGAAACCCAAACCAAGCATCAACGAAATTAGTCAAAATAAAAAAGTATCATAAATAAGAACTCCCCAAAAGAATCATATCATAAACAAATCAGCAATAGCCACATCATTTTAGACTATACAAGCTTCTATAAATAATGTTTACTGATGTCAGTCTACTGCATAAATGATCAAATGACTTTTTCTTATGTAGCATTTCAGATTTATAAACTAAACTATATTATCAAGGATCTTTTGCGAACCTACCCATGGTTGATGATGTCATGGAGGAGAATAGCCCCAGTACACAGGAAAATGGAAGAGATATGAAAATTGCTTTGGTTCCCATTTTTCCAACCTGCAGAGAGTTGAATAACTAAGGCTATACATAATTGCAACTTTGATAGATCTGAGAGGACTTTTATTCTTACCAATAGCTGCTCAAGGAAACAGAAATAGGCAAGCATGTTGACAATGACAAGTACTGGCAGTTCCTGCCAAACCCTGATAAATTGAGCAGACAACTGTGTAACAATAATCTATAGTACAAGAAAGATACAAGGAGAACACTCTATTCCAGTTGTAAGACAGTACACTTGTATTGGCTGCAAAATCCAAGGAAAATATTGAATGCATAATAATATTCTAAGAGTACTTGAAGCATGAAAATTGCACAGATGAAATCTTCAACTAGAGATTGCAGGGGATTAACCTACAACTTCAACTCAAGCAAGTCAGAGATCTGACCATCATGAAAGTTTACTAGATAGTTTATGTTGCTAACTTATCACTGGATTTCCAAAACCCATGATAAATCCTGATATATCATACAAGTTTACTACTTCAATTTAGGCTTGGCCACATATTCTAGATAGTGCCATAACCATTATAGCATGTATGAAGAGGAAGTGGCAACTAGGGAAAACTAAATGCAAGATTTAGTTGAATGATGACTGAATGGCAGAAGGGTGGTGATTCATGATTATTAACATATTTTGTGTAATTCTATAAAATAGTTGCCATAAGATTCTATGATATCCATTTAGCTCCCAATTGAAGTGTATTGTCATAATCCATTCATCACGTACCAGTATCTTTATCAAACAAAAATAACTACACTTGCCTGTATTCATATTCATCTTCCTGCTGAGACCTTGCTCCAGTATTCTGAGCTTGAACATTTTGGATCCGTAAGAGAGTGACAGGCAGGTTCCGAACCTCCTTCTTGCACACATCACATGTCTTGTTACCCTTGATACTAAACCATTTTACAGCACATTCTTGGTGAGCCAGAGCAAGTTCACCTTTGCAGCTGCATTCCATCTTCAATGTCTCACCTCCTTCACATAGATCAACCATGCAAATTCTACACACAGCTTCCTCTTCAGCTATATCTTCACCATCACAATCATTTTCTGAACCAAGAAAGGCTTTTAAGTCAAGTTAATAACTGCATCTGGGATAGGAAAATGAACACAATCTGTTTTAGTTTTAGAAGTTAAACTAAGATACCTTGAAACAAAGTCGGATAATATTTAAAAAAGAAAAATGTTCTTTCTATTTTTCAGTGCCAAGAAAACAAAAGCTACCATTCCATAAAATGATTACTTAAAATAGGAAGTTCTGGGAGTAACTTAACAATCCGATAACATCGAGAGAAGGTTTCAACCTTGTGTTTAGAAAGCAGTCTTACAAATATTCTGTTAATAATTCTTCCAACTGTTAATACTTATCATGTTATAATTGAGTCAATCCAGAGAATCTTGTTAGAGATTTGACATAAAAAATTTATTATCTATCATGAGTGCTTAAGCAAGTGTTTATAATAAGATACCAGTATCTATTGTTGTGGACGTGGTCACGCATTCATTCACTTCCTTTACTCGAGGGGTGGAAGGAATAACGCGGTAAAACAAATCTGTCCTTCTTATGCTCTTTTCTTTGTTATCGACAGGCTCTGAACGAGTGCGAGCTATCATCGCCTGTGTCTCTCCTCTCTGCAAAAGGACCTAATAGGTTAAAGCAAAGGATAAACATATTTATGATGCAAACTCAGTAACAACTGAATACCAGAAGTGACTCTAAAAATGAAAGAAAGAAAGAAAGAAAGCATTGAGCTCAAAAAAAGCAGTAAATGTAGGATTTAAAACTTGGTGTTCATTATGCCTATTCATATGTATTGGTAGAACCGTAGAAGTAATAGTTTTCTATGCAAATCAATTTTTCTCCTGCTTCTAAGTCTTCATGAATTAATAATTTCAGTGGAATGGAATAAATCCGGCAAATATTTATATCTGTATGTTCAAATTAATTGTTAGTGAAAAGACAAGATGCATATTAATTATAAATATAAGAGAGTCATTTTAAAATTTTATTACAACAGTGCTTGAAACCTTACATATGGAGAACCACCAACACTTCCACCCAGAGCAGATTCTGTGTTTGCAATCCCAATTTCTTCTACTGGTAATGATGATGTTCTCTTAATCTTATTTGTAAATATCTTAGTCAGGGACACTGATCTGGGGATTGAAGACTTTTCTTGAGGGCCTGAAGAGGAACCTTCTAGAGCTCCAATGAGGCTCAATTTTGGTAAGATATTTCTTATAGATGATTTGCCTCTTGATGCTGAAGGGCCTGGAATATTGTTAATTGGAGCATCAACAGAGCGAGAAGTCACAAGAAAATTCACTCTCTTATGTGTTGGGGTTGGACTTGGTGTCAGTGGCATCCTTATTCCAACAAAATCCTGAGAAGACTCTTGTGATGTTCTGGAGGGTATTTCCAGTAGAAGATTCTGTCGCTTACAATGATGAACTTGTGAGGTTTCGCCACTTACCCCCATTGGATCATCAACCTATAAATACCACATGGAGTTGATAAATAATTGATCTTGGCCATTAAGTTCCTACTAAAATATAATTAATTCAAAAAATTCATCAAACATTCTTGAAACCCACAAAACTATAATACAGTTAGATTAATACAATATTATAAAATGGGCTTAAGAGAAAAGGAAAAAACATCTCCAATTCAGAATTTAAAATAATAGAGACTAGTCTTTCAGAACAAAATCACAGGGTGAAGCCAAGACAGACAGAGAAACAAGCAGCATCATGTGAAAAGCACAAACAAAAGTAAGTACCATGTGAACTGGAAGAGAAACGGTTCGTTTGCACGAAGCTGCATCATGTTTTTCCTCAGCACTCATTTTGCGGTGACAAAACAAACCCACAACTCGGAAGTAACCAAAAAAGCAAATAAACCTCAGTACTTGAATTTGAAGCCAACAATTATACTTATAATAACTCCACTATGTTATTGCTTAGTTCTTCAATTTAACCTTCTTGTTACTTGTGAGATAGAAATAGCTTAAATTGGGCAAATTGAATATGACTAAAATTCAGCATTTATGAAAAAGGGTCATGCTCTCTCACTCCCTAAAGTCTTAAACCCTTCCACTCTCCACTATCTCCGCATTCACTATATGTATAACAAAATATGGGGGCCACTTTTATATACATTATAAGCGCGTCAATATAATCCAGGGGAAAAGTAATACACTTTTTATTAAATAAATTTTTTTAAATGATTTTTATATTTTTCAAATATTAAATAATCATACTTTTTATTTAAGTATTAGAAGAGGGGAAATGATATTGTAACAACCAATTAATGTTACTACCCATCAATTTTACCGTTAGATCGATTATGTTGATCCAACGGTTTTATTTATTTCCATCTTTGTATGGTTATGATTCTCCATATTTAATAATTTATATTTATTTTTATCTTTGTATGGTTTTGATTTTCCATATTTAATGCTTTTACATTGAATATAGAGAATCATAATCATACATAGATGAAAATAAATATAACCGTTGGATCAATATAATCGATCTAACGGTGAAATTGATTGATAGTAAAATTTGTAACGTCCGGCCACTTCAAGAATCAATGACTATCCTCACATACTAACACTAGACTTTTCAGTGTGTTTTTTCCTCACTCGCACACTTACTGGAAAAATTTCTCAGGAGGTCACTCATCCTAGAATTACTCGAAGACAAGCACGCTTAACTATGGAGTTCTTCCATTCTGGGCTACCGAAAAGAAGATGCATCTTATTAGTATAGGTAGTACCAATTAATTCTTATAAGCTATCCCAAACTGTACCGTCTCATACCAGCACAGTCTCTGAAATCTCTCTCTTTCGGATGTTGATTCGATTCATTCATGTACCCCATCGCTGGAAGCCTGTTAGGAGCCGCTCCTTGTCCATGCCCTTTCGCACCGGCGATCACTCCCCGCCCTCGTTAGCGCTCGGGATGTTACATGTCCACCAGCTTCCGCATGGTTTGTCCTCAAACCACACCATACTGTAAGAGAGGCCTTGCTCTGATACCACTTGTGACGTCCGACCACTTCAAGAATCAATGACTATCCCCATATACTAACACTAGACTTTTCAGTGTGCTTTTTCCTCACTCGCACACTTTCTGGGAAAACTTCCAGAGGTCACTAATCTCAGAATTGCTCCAAGTCAAGCACGCTTAACTATGGAGTTCTTCTGTTCCGGGCTACCGAAAAGAAAATGCATCTTATTAGTATAGGTAGTACCAATTAATTCTTATAAGTTATCCCAAACTGTATCGTCTCATACCAGCACAGTCTCTGGGATCCTTCTCTTCCGGGAGTTGATTCGATTCATTCATGTAACCTATCGCTGGAAGCCTGCCAGGAGCCGCTCCTTGTCCATGCCTTTTCGCACCGGCGATCATTCCCCCGCCCTCGTTAGCGCTTGGGAGTCCATGCCCTTTCGCACCGGCGATCATTCTCCGCCCTCGTTAACGCTTGGGATGTTACAATATTAATAATAACACTAGTTGATTGTTATAATATCTCATCCTTAAAAGAGTTATTAGAAAGATATTCACCGTTCATGTAACATTTTCTTTTCTCTAAATTATTATGTAACCACTTATTTGCTTTGAATGTACGTGCCAATCCCTTCGGGCACGAACATAATAAAATAAGATGAAACTTGTAATAACATCAACACCTGGCTCTGCCTCGTGCCTCTCCACTTTCAATGTGGGATGATGATGAATGCTGGTGTGTAAGGTACCTCAGTGACGCACTTTACCATATTTTGTGCCTGTTTTTGGGATTTTTGACTCTATCCTTTTGCATTCACGCAATCATTCTGGAACAGTTTGTTCACACAATTCGGTTAATTGTAGTAAAATTTGAAAAACTGTGGGCATCCATTAGTCTTTTTGTGTTAGGGGAAAAAAAGGGCAATGTAGTTTCCAAACGAATAAGGAAACTTCAGTTAACTCAATCATCGCGAATCAACAATATACAAAACAGTGAGATAATTTTTTTAATTTTTTTACAGGTGTCGTCTTCTAGGACAAAGTTATTCCTCTCAATTTTTAACTTTCCATTAGTAATATCTTTTTTTGCTTCTACAAACTTTTCCATCTGAATTTCAAAAAATCTCAAGCCTAAAATCAGTTAACAGCTAGATTAAATTATATTATTTATTACCATTAAGGTATATTGAATGATATATTTCCAATGCTTTAATTGGAAGCATTTTCTCTTCTTTTTTTTATTGATTAACCGAGTTTATATTTCCATTATTACTATTCTCTTCAGGTATGATTATAAATGAACCAATTGTTAAACTCAAGTTGAACTTTTTGTTTTTTGACCGGATATCAATCACATATTAATACAACGGTCATTATCCGAGTATTGGTTTATATTGTTACATCGAGAATTACATCATTTTTATTTCTGTTGTTCGGATGCCAACCTCATCAATGATTTAAGTTATTAATACCATTTTCTGCAATTGAACTCGTATTATATCATTCCAAAACATTAGTTTCACTTAAAATGAAACAAAATTATTATTTAAAATAATAAATATTTTTCACTTATTTTATAGGGAGTATTATTTCTGCGGTTGTGGTAGAAATAATATTTCCTGTCACATACACAATGAAAGATAACAGAGAATATTTTGGTAGAACAAGAGATAATATTTTTTTGTGTCTGCGTCAAAAGTATTATTTCTGTCACAACTGCATAAATAATACTCTATATTTTATATTATATTATTCCTTTTAACATCTATAAATTTGCACATAAGAATTTTATGCAATTTTTGGTCATTTAGCATTACAGAGCTTATACGAACCTTTTCAAGCAAAGTAATTTCAAATCTATCAAATGGCGTTTGTTTTATTATACATTACAGTAGATACGCTTAGTAATGAAAGAGTTGAGTTAGAAAAACAACACAACAAAACAAAGACAAGTTTACCATAAAACTATTACTTCTGTATGAAATGATTTTGGAGGGTTCTTATAATCTTCTTCCTATATAGATATGGAGGAACTATATATAAGACCTTTTTTTTTTTTTTCTTCAGCTATTTGGTCTTGAGATAAAATTGTGTTAAATGTAGTTTCGAGTGGAATTGCATATATCTTTGTTACTTTTTGTTACTTTTTGGAGGTAGAACAATGCATTCTCAGTTTTCAATTCCATTATCTACAAATGATTCCTGCATACGCAACATTAGGTAAGGAAGCTTTAAAGCAGAACTTCTTACAAAAAATAGCTTTGATAGTTTGGAATGGAGCTCCCATGTTAAATAAATAAGCTATTTGGAACAAAATTGATTGTTCTAGGGGGAATTTCAGACATATTCTTCCGGTTATTCAGAAGGAGGTAGGCAAAACTTAAATATAAGCTATTATAAAATTTTCATAGTTATGGTCATTCTGTAAAGTTATAAAATTGTTGGAAATCGAGAATAACACGAAATAGATAAAAACAGAAAAGAGAAAAGAAAAGAGACACAGTGATGTATCTTGATTCACTCAATATAGGCTACGTCCAGCTTGTCTGTACTATATTCACCTCACCGCCACTCGTTACAAGTCACTCGGTTTTCAAGGAGAATATAAATAGGATTAGAAAAATTCTAACAGCGGCTATTCATGGGACCCTAGTTACCTTTCTGCTGACCTCAATAACAAAGGCTCTTATCAGCATGCGAAGTATGAGCCATACCCAACAAAAATGATTACTAACATAAGCCTTTTGGCATCTTCCTCTAATCAAGATGCCAATATATTGTAGAAATTTGCAAAATTGATACTTTACATATGAGGAGGGTTATATTGACAATTTTTTTTTTACAAACTTACAAATTACATATCTTACCGGTAAGATTTCACTCAAGAGCCGTGACAGGAAGCACTAAAACAAACAATTTTTTTTTTTTAAAATTTCTTTTCATGAATTTTATGAAGATAGATACTTGAGTTGAGGAAAAGTTATAGACCTACCCATTATCAAGATATATATCTATCCTTTCATTGTTTCCACGTAATTTTGAATTAAAATATCAAAAAGGGGGGACTCGACATAAGTATTTAGAGTAGATGTACATATGATAGTTTAGAAAGTTTAACTAAAAAATTTGCTTTTGCTTTTGCTTTTCCAATGGATATTTATCAGATTCGTGGTTTTGATGCAACGAAAATAAAAGAATTCAAGAGTACCCTTAACTTTCTCCTTGGGAAAGGTCACTCAAGTTGTACCAATTAGCAAACAACAAGTTTGCTTACGTGATAAAGACGACACATAACATTCTACGCGTTGGATTCCAAGTTTAAAAGTCCAACAATGTTAAAACTGACACATAGTTTCCTTTTTTTACGTTGTTAATTAATTTAGCGTCCCGAAATGTGCCATGTGGTTTTAAATCGTGGATGGGCATGCAAAATGGGGCAAAAGATGAGCAACCGCCAACGACTCAATTCATTTACATGAAAAGGAAAGAGCATGCTCCGTTTGTTGAGATGTGATGCCACCATAAATGCTTTTTAATCATTCTTGTTTCGTTTGTGCAACCTCAAATCTCACGTACGTAATTTATTACCACTATTACAAATCACAATTGACTGCTTCTGCTGTGACAAAACCATTAGGACAAAAGGTTTTTGATAATTTGATTATATTTATAAAACTTTTTTTTTTAAACTCTTACAAATTATACTAAGTAATTTGTGTCAGGCAGGTCTAGGGGGAAGTCTGTGACAGGGGACCACTACTAATGGGTTAAGTTAATTCAAGTACACCAAGTAGATACGACACAACATCTCAACCCAAAACTCTAAGGCATTGGGTTCATGAGTCCTTCCATTTATATACTCTTCACTTAGCTTATTATCTAACCAATGTGAGACTCATCATACTTGAATACTCCAACAATCTCCCTCTGAACCTGCTGGACAGTATGACTAGTCATATTTCAATTAAGAGTGTATCGCCAGTCATATTTAATGTAATTTGTAAAAAAAATTTATAAACGGAACCTTCCCCTTAAGTTATATATTAAATTCTCA